AGCAGGGGCAGGGGTCTGGGGACCATGGTTTCAGGGGACATCTAGGTCAACTGGCATAGTAAAGTCTATCAATAAAACGTTCTGCATCTCACGTTGGTGAGTAGCGTCTGCGGTCTTAAAAGCTAGCAAGTGGCCATCTAAGATGCATCAATTGGTCCCAACCCGCCTGGAGCAAAGGAGAATGAAGAACACCAAAGACACAAGGAAAATATTAGCCTAAGAGATAGAAAGGGCCACAAAGACACAAGGAAAATATTAGCCTAAGAGATAGAAAGGGTCACAAAAACCAGAGACTCCATCAGCCTGAGACCAGAAGAACTAGATGGTGCCCGGCTACCACCAATGACTGCCCTGACAGGGAATACAACAGAGTCCCTGATGGAGCAGGAGATAAGTGGTGTGCAGAACTCAAATTCTAGTAAAAAGACAAGACTTAACGGTCTGACTGAGACTGGAGCAACCCCAGAAGACAAGGCCCCAAGACTCTCTGTTAGCCTAGATCTGAAACCATTCCTGAAGCCAACTCTTCAGACGTTGATTAGACTGGACTATAAGACATAAAGCGATACTCGAGAAGACAGTGCTTCTTAGCTCAAGTAAATACATGAGACTAAGTGGGCAGCCCCTGTCCGGAGGCAAGATGAGACAGCAAAAAGGGACAGTAGCTGGTTGAATGGACACAGGAAATCCTGGGTGGAAAGGAGGAGTGTGCTGTCACATTATAGGGAGAGCAACTAGGGTCACATAACAATGAATATATTAATTTTTGTATGAGAAACCGACTTGAACTGTAAACTTTCACTTAAAGCACAATTTAAAAAAATCAGCCATTGAAAACCCTATGCAACACAGTTAAACACTGACACACATCAGGTCGCCATGAGTTGTAATCAACTCCACAGCAACTGGTATTATTACAAGAAACAATTTATGATCAGAGTCACGATAAAGACAGATAATTACTATCAGTACACACTTCATAAGCCACATTTGCCCTATTTTATTCTCATACTTCCATATTAGGATTCAAATATGTATATATGTTAAATAATTATGTGTTAATACAAAACTTCTACTAAAAATTCTTAAAATAAAGGTCTTTTGAATAACAAACTATAGGTTCTCAACACCTTATAGTAGTGGTTCTTCAAGTGTTACCCCCAACCAGCATCATCGTCTGGGAACTTGTTAGGAATGCCACACCTCAGACTGACTAAACCGTGTCTTAACAAGCCCTCCAAATGATTCTGGAACAGTAGTGGTTCAGTGGTAGAATCCTCCCCTTCCATATGGGAGGGGACAATGGTGGTTCAGTGGTAGAATTCTCTCCCCTTCCATGCAGGAGACCTGGGTTCAATTCCCAACCAATGCACCTCATGCGTAGCCACCACCTATCTGTCAGTATAGGCTTGTGTGCTGCTATGATGCTGAACAGGTTTCAATGGAGCTTCCAGACTAAGACAGACTAGGAAGAAAGGCCTGGCAATCTACTTCCAAGAATCAGCAATGAAAACCCTATAGATCACAAGGGAAAACCCTACAGATCCACAACCAATCATGGGAATGGAGCAGGACCAGTCAGCATTACATTCCCTTGTGCGTGGGGTCACCACGAGTTGGGGGCCTACTCTACAGCCGCTAGCAACAACAACAACATGTGCAAGATCTATATGAGCAAATCAAAGAATATCTAAATAAATGGTGAGATATTCTATATTCCTGGATAGGAATTAAGATGTCAATTCTTCACAACTTAATCTAAGGGTTCAATGCAATCCCAATCAAAATCCTGGCAAGTTATTTTGTGGATTATCAACAAACTGGTTTTAAAGTTTATATAAAACCCAAAGCTCACTGCCATTGAATTGATTCCGACTCATAGTGACCCTATAGGACACAGCAGAACTGCCCCATAGGGTTTCCAAGGCTGTAAATCTTTACAGAAGCATATTGCCACATCTTTCTCCCGCAGAGCAGCTGGGGAGTTCAAACCACTGACCTTTGGGTTAGCAGTCGAGAGCTTTAACCACTGTGCCACCAGGGCTCCTTACAAAGTTTAGATGGAAAGGTAAAAGACCCAGAATAGCCAACACAATACTGAAGAACAGACTTGGAGGACTGTCAACATCTGACTTCAAGACTTAGAATAAAACTACAGTGATCAAGATAGTGCGATATTGGTGAATACAGACTAAATCTCTGAAACATTGAACAGATGGAATTCTGAAAATGATAATTCCCTGTAGCAAGATTACTGGAAGTTTTTATGTCTCTAACTCTGTCAACAGCACCTTATTTGCTGTATATGACTTCACTTTCCAGGATACAGTACACTATACCTCTGGTTCCTCCAACCTACTCGTTTTGCCCATTTGTTCTCTAAGAATTGCAGTCTCTAGTTAATGCAAAAAAAATTAGTGTATCAAAAAGCAACACAAATGTAATAGAGATGGTTACCCAATTTTCTAGTTGGTAGGGATATCATATTACTGAATCAGGGATAAATCTGAAGTCTTTTTATTTTCTCACTGGCAGGCAAACATAGAGAGGTTATCTATTACCTTTTCAAGAACCATACATCAACCCTAAAGTTAATAAAAATGCCAGTGTCTGGCAATAAACTAACAAGCCTAGTTATTAGTGATGATCAAGTTTTAATATTTCCTTTGTGTTCAAAGACACTACAATGGAAGCTGAAAAAAAATTTATCAGACTGGATGAAATTTTAACCTGAAAGTTCTGGTTTTATATTTATGTTAGCATAGTTTTAACAGTGCCATCTTTAAGTACATCCAGATAAACAGTCTTTTTCAATCATTCAAATCTTATTTTTTCTTTAAATAATTCCAATACTTGACTTTTTAAAAATCTATTTGCACATAAAAACTTTGGTTAACTAACCCTCAAAAATGTTATTATCTGATTTCTTTCATTTGGAAAGCAGATTTCTAAACATATGAAAAAATAAAGAAACCATGTAAAAAAGATGGCATGCCATTTGGCTTTTTAATTTTATAAAGATATGAAACTCATAGGAAAGCTCTATTTGGTAAGATCAGTTGCTTGATCTTTCTTGCCCAGTGAATTAACAATTGCTAACATTTTTAATAGAGCCAATGACTCAAAAAAATGCTTTTGACTTCTCTTTTACATTACAGGTTAAATCTGGCACTTCTGGAAAATACCTAAAGGTGAATGATAGTGTTAGAAATCAAGACTCCTCCATTTTTCCTGGCTCCTGATATTTTAGGAAAAAAAAAAGCAGCAACAGATTAAAAAGTATAGAGCCCTCTAATAGTAAGCTCATGATAGCCTTAGTAAGTACTTCAAATCTGAAAGCATAGCCAATTCTGAATTGGTTACCTGTATCATTTGTATTAATGTACTTGAATGTCTAACAACGTTGCTCTTTTGAAACTATCTCTAGCTTTCACTCACTAATGAAAAAGTTTTCAGTGTAACTACTTGCTATCATTCCTATCATTCGTTTTCATTAAGGGAGAAAATCATTTCAGTGTGTAAGGACACAAAATAGAAAATAAAAGTTTGGGTTTTACCAAACAACAGTTTAGCTTAACTAGTAAAAAATGTCTGCCTTGAGTATTATGCTCTTTTAAGGTCTATCTATATAGGATTAAATTGACAACAGCAATTCGAAAGATAGGAATCTTAGGAGGCGGTAAATTTATGTTAATGGAAGAGGTACAATTTTTCGGAAACGGAGTGTGAGAATGGTTACACAACTTGAGTGTAATCAATATCACCGAATCGTACATGTAGAAACTGTTGAACTGGTGTATGTTTTGTTGTATGTATTATCAACAATAACATAAAAATAAATTATTAAAAAGTAGTTTGGGTTTTCTTTCAATAATCAGAAAAAACTGAATTGTAGCAATGCACAAATGGATATAACAAGGGAAATATTAAATGGCCAATAAATTTCATCATGATCAAACTCTGCTTTCCTCGTGTCACTCTCCTGTAAGAATGGATAACAGGCCCTGACTCCATCTAGTCCACAAAGTTCTCTGCTCAGTTTTCAAAGTCTTTTGAACAAGTCCCCCAACCCACTTATTCCACAAACTTTCATATTCACCTGTTTGACTTCTCTATCATACAGATCTCTTCACTCTTCCCTGGATAAATATTTCCATACTAGTCCTTTGCCCAGGCTACTCCCCTTGCCTAGAATGCCCACCGGTCTCCTATTATCTACCTAAGTCCTATCAATCTTTCTAGGCTCAGCTCAATTCATATGTTTTCTATAAAGCCCTTTTCCCACAATGAAGACCAATTTTGATCTGTCACTTCTTTAAAGGTATATTCTTTGCTATAGTCAGTGCCATACAACTTACCACTTGTTTTATAATTATCTTATATTCTCCAATTCCATATCAAGCTATCTGAGGCAGTTACATTTTAAACTTCTTTGTAATGCACAAATAGGCTATCATTGAAACAAAATAAATATTTATCAACTGATAGAAATCCAGTTTCAGAGAACTTCATGAAGAATTCATCCATTTTCACTAAGGTGAAATTTTGTGCAATAGGTACACTTTAGGCAACCACATCCCACTATTCAGAGTCTAAGAAAAAACCCAACATTACATTTCTTTTCTGAAGCTGATAGAAGCAATCAGTTCACTAGTAAGTAGAAAAAGGGCTCTACATATTTAAAAAAAAAAAATCAATCAATTTGTTTGACTAAAAAAGCTTACTAATGCTAGGAGTTAAAATAGCATATAAAATAATTAAGAACATAAAATATTCTTTTTAGTTGAGATAGTCTAAAAGTGCTATAAGCAAATATTATGTTTCAAATCGGCAGGGATCCAAAATCCATGATGATTTTGTTTCAACAAGTTCTACAAAAATACCTAGTGCTCTACTGTATTACATTCATCACCTCACTTCTGGTTAGTAAATATTAACTTTTTTTTTTTTTTAAATACAACTCACTTATGTCAATGACGAGAGTAAAACAGTCTACTTACTCCACCCATTGTAATTCCATGAATAAGTGCAACATATGGTTTCCGGCAAGAAGCTAAAAAGAAATAGAGCTGTAATTAATTGCCATTTTTAAAATACATTCACTTTTTACCAAAAATCACATATTACATGAGCTCTGAGTATTTTCCCTAATAAATTTTTGCATAAAATATTAAATGAATGGTTTGTAAAATGTTATTTTTTAATGTCAGTTCATGCCCAATCCTGATCTTCTATTCATTATCATTTAACTAAACACTTCAATTTGAAACAAATGAAAGCGTAGTATAACTCAGCTATTAAGAAATACAATTAACATTTATTTGCCTTATAGACCACCCATGTTTATGTACACAACTGTACTTTAAAGCACATAATTTGTTTTCTATATATCTGAAGAGGTATCTGGATACACACAGAGAAGTGCAGCATATAGAAAAAAGCATGAACTGGGAGTTAGAAGACCCAGATTCTAGTCTCAACTTTATCATGAATTGGCAATTCAACTGGGCACAACTTAAATGTTCTGTGTGTGTGTTATGTGATATAATACACACACACATCATATGACAAATGGATGAGTTTCATCTATAAAATGATGAGGCTTAACAGCCTTAGAAGTTCCAGGTGGAAAATTCTGTTAATCATACAAACTTTTACTCTTTTCCTTTCCTTTTTTTGTCTTTCCTTTGAGATGGAGTTGCCTAGAACACTAGAAAACTGTAAATCATTGAGCTTTTATTATAGCTTGTTGCCAATATTACTCCTTGCCAGAGGCCAATATAAAACTGCAGAGGTTTGATCCATCTGGTAGTTCTGTAAATATCCCCAACTACCCAAACCAGCCACCAAAGCACAACTCTAACATCACATTCTCAAGGACTTCTACAGTCCTCCATTTTGACCTGCAGTTCCCTAGCAACTATAGCAGAAAATTCTCTATTGATTGGGATGGAGATACATGTGTGTGTGCGCACACAGGCACACATATAATAGACGCATATATTTCAGATATAAAATATCAGAAAGCTAATTAATGCAGGACATGAAGCCATATTCTGTCAAATTCCTTACTGACTATGATATATCTTGAAGATATTACAGACTGAATTACATCCCCCATAAAGATCATTAAAGTCCTACCCACCATACTTGTCTAGAAATAAGGTCTTTGAAATGTTATCAGTGAAGTTAACATGAGCTCATACTAGAGTAGGATGGGTCCTGATTCAATCTGAGTGGTGCCCTTATAAAGAGGAAAAGTGACAGAGACAGACACAGAGGGAAGATAGCCAGGCCATGTGACACAGCAGGCCGAGGTTGCTGCCGCTGCAAGCCATGGAAAGCCTAGGACTTCCAGAAGCTGCGAAAGACAAGAAAAGACCTTCCCTAGAGCCTTCAGAGAGAGCATAGCCCTGCTGACACTCTGAATTGGGACCTCTAGCCTCCAGAACTGTGAGATAATAAATTTCTGTTCTTAAAAGCTACCCGGTTTGCGGCACTTCATTATGGCAGCCCTGGGAAATGAACACAGGGGCTTTCTCTCTGTATATTAACATTTTTACCAAACTCTTTTTTTCAAATTCCTCAGAGGTTTTAGCCTATCTCCTTTTGTTTAGTATAGAATTGCACCGTCCAATATGATAGCTACCAGTCACATATGGCTATTTAGATTACAATTAATTCAAATTAAGTTAAACTTAAAATTCAGTTTCTTGGTCACACAAACTACTTTCAAGTGCCCAATAGTCACATATGGCTAGTGGCTATTACACTGAACAGCAAAGATACAGAACATAACCATCTCTACAGAAAGTTCTTTTAGACAGTGTTAGTATAGAATATTAGAATGAATAAAACATTCTAAGTTAATTTAATATATGGAATTTTAGGCTTTGAGCTAAAGTGGGAAACCATCCATTCCCCACTCCTGCTTCAAAGACACAGAAATACTTGGAAAAAATCAGTTTTAAATGCATAACCAACTTCAAAGCCAGCAAAGTCCCCCCAGGTGAAACAAACTCAAAAGCAGAGTGGAAGCTACAGCCAAAGAACTCATGGGTATGGGTGTGTGTGTGTGTGTGTGCGTGTGCGTGTGCGTGCGTGCGTGCGTGCGTGCGTGCGTGCGTGCGTCTTATCATAGGGAGTAGGGGGTTAATTTTAATTCTGGGCCACGTATCTATGCAATGATATACCTGCATAAAGCCTCACGTTAGGAAGACCTATTCTATTTGTAAAACAGGACTAGAAAAACTCTATCTGCTGATCCAGCAATTCAGTAAGGAAGCTTACCTTCTGCCTAGAAGAGTAGATGGGAAAAAGTCAGAGAAATCGGACGCTCAAGCACTGGATAACAACCACCACCTCTACAACTGAAAAAACGGAACAACCCTAACAAATCTGAAATAGAAGGAACGTCCTTAACTCGGTAAAAAAAATTCTGCAAGAACAAGACACCACCGCAATCATTTAACACTACAATAGAGGTCTTAGTCAAAATAAAATACAAGAGAAGTCAAAAATACAAGGATTAGAAAGGAAGAGAAGAAAAAAATTAGGCAATTCTACCTTCTGCATATATATATAGAAAAGCCAAACACATCTACGAAAATACTATTAGAATTAATAAAAAATTTCAGCAGAGCTGCTGCATGTAAGACCAAGATACTAAAATCAAAAGCATTTCTAAATCTAAATGCCAGAAATAGTCAATTAGAAATGTAGTAGGAAAAGAACTGCCATTAAATGTAGTAGCAAGAACCACAAGCTACCTAAGGATAAAGTCTTTAAAAAAAAAATCAAGCAAGTATGAAGAAAATTACAAAACATCATGGAAGAACATGGAAGTCAACCTCATGAAAACATTTTAAAACTGGTTTATGGTGATGATTGTACAACCTTAACTTTACTAAAAATCACTGAATTATACACCTGAAATGGGTGCATTTTATGGTATGTAAATTATAACTCCATAAAGTTTTTGTTTGTTTGTTTAAGTCTATGTGAATAAATGAAGTGACATGTCATATTCATGGATAGAAGACTCAATATCAATTATGTCAATTCCCCCCAAATTAATATAATTAATTGTCATTCCAATCAAAATCTCAACAGGATCTTTTGTGGAACCAGGCAACTCAATTTTAAAATTTATATGGAAGATCAAAAGTCCAAGAATAGCCAAGACAATTCTAAAATAAAACAAGGATAATTTGCTCTACTGGACAGAGACATATTTTAAAGCTATAATAATTATAACACTGTAATTCCAATATAAGTAAAGACAAATAGATCAATTAACAAAATATCGCAGAAACAGATCTGGGCACGTATAAGAACTTGGTATATAACTGAAGTGTCATTAAAATCAGCGAGGAAGAGGTGGACCTTTCAATAAAAAGCATTAGGGCACCTGGCTTTCCATATGGAAAATAAAAGATGATATCACATGCAAAAAACTTCCAGGTACATTGAAGACCTAGAGTATAAAGAAATAAAATATTCAAATGGTTAGATGAAAATATAAGAATAACCTAACCTCAGCACAGGAAAAGTTGGTTCTTTTAAGATGCAAAACAGCAGAAATCGAATGGGCACATTTTACTGCATTAAAAAAAGACTTGTATATGTCAAAAGATAACTTAAAATAAAGTAGCAGACTGGAAGAAGTGTACTTGTAATATATATTACCCACAAAAGCTAAGTATCCAGAATACAGAAAGAATTTCTATAAAATTAGCAAGAAAAAGGTAAACAATCCAATAGACGGACAAAGGATGAAAACATACGAAACACAAGAACTATAAGAAAATATCTTCTACTTGTTCAAGGAAATGCAAATAAAAGCCACAATAAGATATTATCACATGCAAAGTTTAACAAATGAGGGAAAGGACATGTAGAAAAGAGTCCCACTTTACAAAACAATTGGGAAACAAACTGAAGATGTATGAACTCCATATAATCCATCAATTCTGCTTCTAATATCCCAGGAGAAAATCTGTCACATGGGTACTAAGGGGACTTACAAGGTGCAACAATCTGTATTAGTAAAAATTGGAAATTACCTAAAATATTCATTAATGTAGGCTAGTAAATAATATTATGAATTTAATAATTCATAATATTAAATACCATAGAACAGTAACATTTCACGTTGTCAAAAACAAGTTAGAAATGGTATACATAATAAGATAGTGTTTATGTAAATTTCAGAAACAAAATGTTTTATTCATAAATACATAGTGAAAATATAAAACATGGACTAGGAGGACACACTACAAATTAACAATAATGACTGCTTCTAGGGAGGAGAGAGGAAAAAGAATGGCACTGAGGAAAGCAACAAAGCTGACTGAACTTCAAACTCATTGTTGTTAAGTGCTGTCAAGTCAGTTCTGACTCACAGCAACCCTATGTACAACAGAATGAAACACTGCCTGGTCCTGTGCCATCCTCCCAACGGTTGCTATGTTTGAGCCCAATGTTGCAGCCACTGTGTCAGTCCATCTTGTCGAGGGTCTTCCTCTTTTTCGCTGGCCCTCTACCTTACCCTGACGTCCTTCTCCAGGAATTGGTACCTCCTGATAACATGTCCAAGAATGTGAGACGAATGCTTGCCATCCTCGCTTCCAAGGAGCACTCTGGCTGTGTTTCTTCCAAAACAGACTTGTTCGTTCTTCTGGCAGTCAATGGTATATTCAATATTCTTTGCCAACACCATAATTCAAAGCTATCAATTCTTCTAAAGTCCTCTTTATTCACTATTCAGCTTTCACATGTATATGAGGCAACTGAAAAGATCATGGCTTGAGTCAGCCACACCTTAGTCCTCAAAGATTTCTGCTTTTTAACACTTTAAAGAGGTCTTTCGCAGCAGATTTGTCTAACAAAATACATCATTTGATTTCTTGACTGCTTCTTCCCTAGGCTTTGACTGTGGATCTAAGTAAAATGAAATCCTTGACAACTCCAATCTTTTCTCCGCTTACCATGCTGTAGCTTAATGGTCCAGTTGTGAAGATTATTGTTTTATGTTGAGGTGTAATCCATACTGAAGGCTGTGGTCTTTGATCTGCATCCAGTAGGTGCTTCAAGTCCTCTTTGCTTTTAGCAAGCAAAGCTGTGTCATCAGCATATCACAGGTTGTTCATGAGTCTTCCACCGATACTGATATCACATTTTTCATATAGTCCGGATCCTCGGCTTATTTGCTCAACATACAGATTGAGTAAGTATGGTGAAATGATACAACCCTAATGCACACCTTTCCTGATTTTAAATCACGCAGTATCCCTTGTTCTGTTTGAACAAATGCCTCTTGATCTATGTACAAGTTCTGCATGAGCACAATTAAGTGTTCTGGAATTCCCATTCTTTGCAATGTTATCCATAATTTGTTAGGATCCACACAGTTGAATGCCTTTGCATAGTCAATAAACACAGGTAAACATCTTTCTGGTATTCTCTCCTTTCAGCCATGATCCATCTGACATCAGAAATGATATCCCTTGTTCCACATCCTCTTCTGAATCTGGCTAGATTTAAACTTACAGTATTACATTTCCTTTAAATATGTTTTAAAATATCAAGCAAAAACAAAATATACATGTCTTAATTCTGGGCTGGTGAGTATACAAGTATTTATGATGTTATTCTCTGTAATTTAACTTTTGAAACCCACACTTGATAAAAGTAAGGAAAGCTTCACTTTCAGTGAAGCCTGGTAACTCGAGTATAAAGAAATTTTCATTCCAGAGGCCCTCAAGAATCAGGAAATAATACTTCATTTTATAAAGAAAATTGAAACCCAATTTTTGTTTTCTTTCCCCCAAAAAGCCAGCCATGTGATCAGGAATCCATGTTTTCATATTGCTTTTGTGGCAAAAAAAAAAGGTAGTTAAGTATAACCTACTATTATAATGAGAATTGTTTTGAAATAAGCAGTCAGAATAGTTTAATTAATTTGATTTATACCAAAGCACTAATCACAACAGTAGCTAATCATTTGTATGATCATTTGTTTAATGGCTCTCTCCCCAACAGACTTATGCTCGATGAAGGCAGGAACCATGGCTATCACCCCTACTATCCTTTACCATAGTGACTGGCACAGAGCCTGGCACATAGTACGTAAAAGATTAACTAAACATCCCTATTAATTACATTTTTAAACAAATCATACTCATTTCTTGATTCCATTTTCAAAGCTGTCGGCAAAGCACACATACCAATGGCATTGTTCAGGATGTATTCGTCTCTGAAGAAATCTTGACTTAGCTTCTTATTTGCCTTTCCAGCTTCTGAGACCGCTACAATTAAAAAAAAGTATAATTGCAAATCACAAAAGGTATTTTCTAGTAAATATAGTCAAAGAGAATAAATTAAAAGTATCGTGATACTAAGTAGACCAGGGCAAACTCTAGAATGGCTTATTATTACAGTTTTGGAGTTGCCCATGCCACAGACATGTTAACAATCATTCATAGATCCACAGCCCAACACCAAAGCCTCAATGCAAAAGTTTCTATTAAGAACTTCTTACAAAGTGTTATACTTAATAATCATAAATTGCTACAAACTGTGTTTTCTTTTAACTTTTCTCTAGCATCTTAATATTTGCTAGACACACTTTTCCTTTAGCAAGACATCTTGACACAATAAAGTACATCTTGTATATACAGTGTATTCCATCTAGTTAAATATTTCTGCCATATCCACCTCACCATGAAACATTTTATTGAACTCTGTATCACACACTATTTTAGGTACTGCAGATAACAAGCGAGCAATTTAATATGGCTGTCCTGGAGTTCAAACTAACAGGAAGACACACTGCTACAATACACTCTTTGAGCTATGCCCACAATAAGGATGCATGCTGTGGAAATGGGAGTGGAACAGTAGTAAATAAAAGAAGGCTGCCCAGAAGAGGTAAGACTGAGCCAAGTTTGAACAGATGGGTGGGGACTTCCTACAAAACAGCAGGGGGAGCTCTAAGAGGAAGCAGTACCTATAAAGACACTCAAGCAACAAAGAACAGAGTAAAATCACAACACAGCAAGTATTTTTAAAAAGCTTAAGGAAAATAGTAAAAGGTGAGGTTAGAGAGGTAAACAAGATAGTAATATCTGAACCTACTCAGTGGCACTGCAGGAGAAAGACACGGTGATCTGCTTCCATAAGATTATAGCCAATGGAGCACATCTACTCTGTCACACATAGGGTCACCACAAGTCAGAATCAACTCAACGGCAATGCATTTGTTTTACTCTTATTTATTAATAATATCAATGGAAATGTAACTTTTCAAAGCCATTGCTACAGCATACTACAGCTGGCTTGGTAAACATATGATCAGTAAATACTTGCTGAAAAACAAATACTATTCGTTGATTTCATTTTTATTGCAATCTCTATTATCTAATGTCCACGCCTCCTACCACAGTCCTACTGCAGCCAATCTTGAGATTGCTATCAAAACTTTCTCTTCCGTGTACTGCAAGCTCATATAAGTCTTCAATGTCTTTAAGCCCTATGAGAATTTTCTACTAAAATACAAATTAAACATATGCATGTTTCCACTTTATAGGGAAGATTTACATAAGAATCCTATTTAGATTTTTAACTCTTTACAATTCTGATTTATCTTTTTTGAAAATGTTTCAAATGTTGACTCATTTTCCTAGTTTTTAAAAGAAAAATTCGGTATCTAATTTTCTCATTCCATGGTTTTCACTGATACATGCCAGAAACATTATCAATGCTTACCAATTCTAAAAGGAATGGAGTGTAAGTTGTACTTTGAATTGAAGCTCTTTTTCCTCAAAAATCTTCCTAGATTTCCTTGTAACCTTATTGTCAATTAGTTAATGTAATTTCACATAAATTAAATGACATTCATAATACCAATTTGTTTTTAATTTTCTAAGTGTCCACTTACTGCTTTGAACTTGGATTTTTAAAGTTTCCTGGAATTGGAATTCATTACTGTATAAATTTAAACTAGAATAATTCTAAAATTAGAATGGTATTTTTAACATCTGTATAAAGTTAGGCCTATATGGATAAACAGCTCGTAGTTAGAAGCAGCTAAACTCTATGCATAAGGCTCTGCCTATCTGTAAACTAATGGGATCCTTTCGTCCTAATTCCAAGGAAAAATTAATCCAAGGATGAAAACAATTTTTTAAAAATATTCTTTTTGTGGGGAGACGGAGCCAATATGGTGCTACAGGCATAAGCACAATGCTGTCCCTCCACGGCAAAGGCCCAAAAACCTAAGTAAAACAGAGATAAACATCAATCCTGGAACCCTAGAGAGCAAGGAGAGGTACAAGCGGAGGTCCTCTATCAGCTAACACAGTACAGATCCACCATCCTGGACTCCTGTCGGAGAGCGGCAGACAAGGAGTACGGGAAAGCAAATTCACAGAGCTCCCAGCAGGAGACAGAGCACCCGGTAACCAGTGAGACACACTTTCCCACCTTCTATCCTTCCTCGCCCTGCTCGACCTTCACCGCTTCCCAGTGGGTGGATTTCTACCTTCCCAGAGGGCTGATGCGCTGCTTCCTGATGGGCTGCAACTGTGGTGTGGGAGATGCCGGTTCCATGTCGCATGGATTCACCCCACCCATACTGGCCGGCTTACTCAGTGTCATTTCTTTGTTGCTGGTATTGCTTTTTCCAGCTTCTTTTGGTTTCATCCCTGCCTCGCACCTCCTCCTCCTTCTTTCTCTCAAACACTTGACTTTGTGTGCCATCTTTGCTTCTTCTTTATAGGCTGTGAAGTGCTGTTCAGCTGGGGACTGCTTCCTCAGTCTGTTTCCCTAGTCTGAGCAGCCACATTGGTGGGATCCCTAGGGTTTTCTTTTTTGTATGTTTTTTCTTTCTTTTTTCCTTTTTATTTTTCTTCATTTCTTGGTTTCTCTCATCTCTTTCTACTTACCTTCTTTTCCTGTCTCCTGAATACCTGGCACTGTGTATCATCTCCATCCCTTATAGCCGGGCTGTACAAATGGCTTGGGGAGCCACTTCCCTGGTCTGCGTAGCCGCGCTGGTGGGATCCCCGGGGGCTGGCTGGCTTATTTATTTATTTGTTACTTACTTAGTTGTTACTTATTTGCTACTTACTTATTTGTTACTTACTTATTTGCTATTTACTTATTTATTACTTACTTATTTGTCACTTACTTATTTGTCACTTACTTTCGGTTTTTCTTCATTTCTTGGTTTCTTCTCTCTACTCCAATGGCAAGCTCCTTCAGCACTATTTTTTTCTCCTGTTTCTCTCTCCTCTCTCTCTTTTCCATACCCAACTTAGCTACACAAATCACAACGTCCCCCTCCCTCTCCCTCCTGTCTATCTGCACCATGTGCTGAACACTGCACTCCCGAGCAGCACAGGCATGACCTACTGGAACCTGCCCTACAATGACCACCGGCTCATTTTGTTAGCCCAATTATGTGCCACAAAAAATCCATTCCAGCCCCTCCCCTTTAGCTGGACCTGCCCTGCTGTACCATAGCTGAGAGACTGGCCCCGTCCATTGGACAAGGAGGTGAAAAATATCATGTTCACAAACAACAAAGAACGCACAGCCCGCCTGCTAGACATAACCAAGTAAAACAAAAAATAGGATGGAACAAACAAATCTACAATCAATAAACAAAGAAAATAACTACTGAATGTCCGGAAGACAGCAGACAATATCAAAACATATTAAAAAAAGGATAGGATGGTTCTAGTAGGCATCGAAAATAAAACACCAGATGACTTTACAGTAGAAGAAAACGCACTAGAACTACCTGATAGGGAATTCAAATCTCTAATACGCAGAATTATCCAAGAGTTGAAGCAAAAAGCAGACAAAAAGGAGGAAAAAACAGACAAGTTTCATGGAATAGGCAGACAAATTCATGGAAAATACAGACCAAAAAAAGAAAAAATTCAGGAAAATAATACAGGAATAAAATGTCAAAATAAATTCACAACTAGAAATCATACAAAAACAGTAATTAGAAATCCAAAAGATAAACAACAAGGCTTCAGAAATGGACAGTGTCGTAGAAGGGCTCAGGAACAGGTCTGAAAGAATAGAAGACAGGATTTGTGAAACTGAAGACAAACATTTGGATACAACTCTGTTTCAGGAAAAATCAGAAAAAAGAACAAAGAAAAATGAAGACACCCTGAAAATTCTGTGCGATTCAATCAAAAGAAAAAATCTGCGAGTGATCAGAGTTCCAGAACAGGGGGAGAAAATGGAAAACACAGAGAGAATCATTGAAGAACTGCCGACAGAAAACTTCCCTAATATCATGAAAGATGAAAAGCTGACCATCCAAGAAGCTCAACGAACCCCATATAGGACAGACCCCAAAAGAAAATCCCCAAGGCATATCATAATCACAATCACGAAAACCAAAGACAAACAAAGAATCCTGAGAACAGCTCGAGAAAAACAAAAAATCACATACAGAGGAGAAACAGTAAGACGAAGCTCTGATTACTCAGCAGAAACCATGCAGGCAAGAAGGCAATGGGATGACATATATAAAACCCTGAAAGAAAAAAACTGCCAACCAAGAATACTATATCCTGCAAAACTCTCATTCAAATATGATGTCGAAATTAGGACATTTCCAGATAAACAGAAATTAAAGGAATATGTAAAAACCAAACCAAACTTACAAGATTAAAGGGAGCCCTTCAGTTTGAGAACAAACAACATCAGACAACAGGCTGAATCTAGGGCACAAGATCACACGAGCCAGATACCAACCCAGGAAATGAACTCTCAAGGACTATTCAAAACCAAAACATTTACAACAGGGAACCAGAGAGGTTAATCTGCAAAGGACAACAACGTCAGAACAATAAAAGAGGGAATAAATGGTGTAAGTATAGGGCTTTCTAATGGAGGAAGGCAAGGTGATAATAGACTGGTTCAAACCTAGGAAGATATGGGTAAATTTCAAGGTAACCACAAAGAAATTTAACAAATCTGCTCATCAAAATAAAGATGAAAAACAGAAAGTCTCAGTAAAAACAAAATCCACAAACAAAAGGAATTCAGCACAGGAGAATAAGAGGAACAAAGAAATCGTCAGCACCACAAAAAAAAGCACTACAAAATGACAGCAACAAACTCACATCTATCAATAATTACAC